AGAGAGAGAGAATCAGGAGCCCAAAAGAGGGGGCAGAGGGAAGGGGGCAGAATGGGGAGACGAAAGCAGACGACAGAATATTGTTAGCGAGCAAGAAAAGAGGTGAAACGAGAACAGAACATTTTAGAGGAGAAAATTATTGGTTGCTGCCATGTTTCGAACCCGAGACCTTTTGAAAGAGAGGCAAACACCGTAACCTCTAGACCAATACAGCCCCCATGGTTGCTTTAACGTGCATCACATCATAATTTGGTGTCAGAATGTTCCATTGTGTTAAATTCTCACGTCATTCATCTTTCTCCAATCCTAATCGTCGAATTACTGTCTCTTCGCGCTGAAATGATTAAATGTTAATCGTTTAAAGAATTTCCGTAGATTATAAATGATAGCTTGCTTTGTCTCGGGGCGCAATCGTTAACAATTATAAAAGAGTACACCTACTCTAGCTTTGCATCTACCCCCTTCTCTCTCTCTCTCTCTCTCTCTCTCTCTCTACCACTTCTGGCTTTAGTGTTCCCTTCTCTCTGGTCTTTGCAATTTGTACTCACCGTTCCTTTAAGTTTAAGTGTTGACACATGTATGTACGCACTTTAGTTTTTATAGCATGCGTAGATCTAGATTCTTGTCATTTATTTTGTGAATATTCCTGAGGAAGCCCGTTGAGGGCGAAACGTTGAGCTGTGGATTAAATATTTTTTGGAAACACAACAAAGTCTTAACTGTTTTAATATCTGCTTTATACAATGATGTTGATGATGCTGATGTTGATGATGATGATGATGATGATGATAACGATGGTGATGATGAAAACGATGATGATAATACAAAAAGTAACAAAGATGTCACAACAAGTTAAAAAAGAACGACAAGCCCATCAAGCACTATTGGCTGCTACTTTAATAATACAAAAATACACAAAAATATCATGATGAAGTATAGGATGAGCCAAACAGCGCATTGTCATTCTCTAACTGCTAATTCATTTTGTGTTTATGTGGGTGTATATACATAACTGCTTTCGGTAATGGGAGGAGGGGCGGGGGCGGGATATGTGAAGGGTTTATGTAAAGACCAGGTTTTCTAGAGCTCTTGTCATAAGAGACGCATGAGATATAAGCTGAGACTTTAATGTTCTTCGCGCATTAGCTGAGCAAAATCTCAAAGAGCAGGAAAATGACGCCATCCGCGTCAAAATGATGTACTTAAAAGTAAAGACAAGAATAATAATATTGGCGTGCGAAGAATTATTATCACAGAAATGGGGTCGTGAGAAAGACCAATCAAGATACATGTAGAAACATCTTGATGGGTGATTTCAACACGACACTGGGCGGGATCGAGAGCAGGTCAGTCATCCTTGAGCTGTGTTGAGAATCCTTTCATGTCTCCAGAACTTTTAAATACCTGTAGAGAAAGACATAAGAGGGGTGGTTATTATTATTAGAACTATTAGGAGCTTTTTATTTTATCATTTGATACCTACGTAAGGATGGGCTGAGAAGGTGGGCATAATGTACATAATAAGCAGTCTGTAATCTTTAGTTTTACTAAGAGTTTTACAGCACCTACAATATAAATTGGTCAAAAAAGCACGGAAGATTACAGGTGCTTCTAGGGAGTAACACGATCAATGTTTAATAGGAAAGAAGGAGCAGCCCGCATCAGAGCATCCGCCAACCGCCTTCTCTATGAGCTCCGAGATTATCAAGTGTTCTTGACACTAAAGAAGTCACCTATGAACTAAAAACACTCATTGTATCAGACACATACACACACACACACACAAACAAGAGAACACTACATAATTACCCCTC